CCCCGGAAAGGCGCATCGTAATTTACTGCTGGGCCAGGACGAGAGCTTGGGCATGGTGGCCAATTGGAAGGTAGCACTCGATGGGCCTGCATATCTCCACCTAATACTTCCAATAGGGCGGTGATGACAGCTAAGAGCCTTACTGTCACTACTGTGAGTCGGACATAGGCAGACTCCCTGAGGGCCTTCAGAACCATAGACATGTCAAGGACCGATCGGTGGAGGGTCCGCTGACGACCACTGAACTCCGTCCGAATAGACTTCAGGAGGGATGCCTTGGTACCAGCACTGGGTAGAGCTAGTGTGGCCGCTAGTCGACGAAGGGCATTAGTATCCAATGACTGCAGCAAGTTAGGCATCAGAGGGCCGCCGCCCAACTGCGGTACCTCTACAGAGCAGGCAATGGTCTCGAAACCCCTGAGGGCCTTGGGCTCCTCATATGTGAGAACTTGCTCTGCTGGGGACAAGCAAGTATGGTAGATGTAACCTCGTTGGAAGAGCTCTTCATCACCGAGTCCATCAGTAGGATGCCACTTGGGCCACCTCCTCCCTGCTAACCCTGCGAGGCGACGTAGAGCTATAAGGCTGAGCTCTTTAACACCTTTGAGGAGGACATATTCCTCATCATCAAGGTAGCAAGCCGTCTGATGAGACTGCTGACCTAGACCTGGGCTAGAATCGTGAACCTGTGTCTGTCCCCTCCGCACTAGATCATCCATCACAAGCTGGCAGGCAGATCTCAAAGCCTCTCCTGCCGCTACATGGGCTTCCCTTTCTTTCGGTTTAGAGCCCCCCTTCTTGTTAATCTCTATATCACTACCCGAGGACAGGGATATCTCCGAAAGACCCTCCCGGATCTCAGTCATAGGAGCTCGATGTTGTGATGATAAACAGAGAAGGATTAAACAATAGCCCAACACAACAACGGAAGCCGCCGGAGCAAAACGGTCATGAATTATTACTAGCAGCGTTGTAGGTCCAGAGAGGAGGATATTTCCTGGGGTCGGGCAGGAGTTATTGCAAGCCTTAGTGGCAATAATACTTACCACCACAGTGTGGCTCGGAGTTCAAGGTCAGAAACCTGAACTCCCACTACGCTTGCACAGCCTCATACAAGTGGGCGACATGGGACCTACTACCATTACCTCTCCTTGCACTCATTGAATTGATATTACCTATGTTGTAGGGCGATAACCTTGGCCATCATTGGCAGGTCAATATCTCCCCCTTGATGGACTTGAGGTGGGATATCCAAGTCGATCTCCTTATCGCCACCTACCGTCCCTACAACCTCGACCACTCTGACATGATACACACATAACATCGATACAGTAGTGGCCTCCTACACTATGTCCCCACTGCTTGATGCTGATGTCCCTTCCGGGCATCTACACAGTATTTGCCCTCCATCGGGGGCCATGAGGTGGAACTCCCCTTGATTGGTACCGTTGCCACTTAGCTGAGTAAGCCATAATAGGGAGCAGGGAACAAAGATGGCTCCTTACCTTCCCAATCAGCCTAACACGGTGGCCTCTCATAGCAGTCATGTGGCTGCTATCCACGAGGGGACAAGAGAGGTTGGCACTCATAGTGTAAAGAGAGATGTAACTAGCTGTGGAATGATCGTCTAGTTGACTTATAACCATGATGTGGGTTGGAGTCACGCCACAATGGTAGACAACACAAACTCGGCACGGCCACTGCACTACACTGCAACACAAGATGGACTTAGTAGGGTTACTGTAATCCGGTTACACACAATAAATACACCCAACGATGTACTAGCAAACTCAAAACCACAGTCTTCCTCTACGATGGGTCACTTCTGGAAGTGGAAGCAGTTTGTGCAACATTTCGGCCTTCATACTGCATAGTCGAGCAAGGTAAACCGCATAGACAATATATCCTATTCATCGTTTGATGGGTGGTGATTATATCCACTGTAATTAGACCATGTTATTGCATAATACTAATGTGCTCATCAGCATTGCAACAATAAGCAGTATTTACTACTGACTCCAGACATCATTCATGTCCGTCGTACTGTTACTCCAAATGGATCTTGCGCTGGCATCGACACCTTCTCAGGCTTCCCTCCAATCTGTGGTTGGTGCCCATCACCATAACGTAGGAAGCTCATGATGAGCTCAGATTGGTTCACTAGGACCTATCGAGTAGTCCTGATGTGTCCACCCTCAAACTGACCTACATCAGCGTGCTGTGGCCTCAGCTCACGGTCAGCCTCGGCACTAGTGGACCGTAGCTTACCACACTCAGCTCAACATCTCATTGTCGTGCCTCATTCAATTGTCTATTTAATCTCGTCTCCAGTCCTGCAAGATGAGTAGCACTCACTATTGCTCAGATGAGGTCCCCACCTATGAGCTGCTCCTCGTGCTCAGCCTTCACCGATAATTGTTTCTTGTCCAAGTCCAGAGACTTCAACTCTGATAATGCTCCATACACTGCATCCCAGCCATAGCATCGCCTTTGAACGACCCTCAATGTCTGGTCTACCTCAGGTTGTTAAACTCAGCTTCAGCAGCCCCGGTGCTAGAGCTGCTCTTCGAAATACCCCTCTCTTGTAGTCTGTCCTACTGCAATTGCTTCACTCGGTCCCGCATGACAGACTCCTGGTCACGCGTCTGGAGTGGTCGGCGGCGACGATAGCGAGCCTCGAATCCTCCACGGCGCTCACTTGAGCCGTCTCCCATTGGAATATGTATTGTGTATCTTCCAATCATTGCTTAACCTCCTCCATCATCGTCTCGAGCTCGACAACGTGCTCGTCCTTCCCTGATAGAGGAACGAGTATACCATGCCAGCTCGAGTGCCAGCTCTTACTTGAGCGAAATCAACAGTGTGCTGCTCACGCTGTCGAGTAATCATTTCCTGGACAGCCGTATTTCAGTAGCAGGTCAATGGAGGCTGGCCCAACCGCCGTCGACTCGTATAGAGATATCAACTTGGAGGAAACTCGTTTGGAAGGAAACGAATGCTGCATACCCGCTGCCAGGCCATGGCTAGATCGGTGAAGTTTACCAAGCTCTTTTGTTCAATGTACCTGTAAAGGAGCGACCATATTGCCGTAGACACTGTGTTAAGCAATGATCGACTCTATGAACAAAAAGTGAGTGTCAACGAAACCCTCTCACTTGTGCTTACCTCGGACCTCCTCCTCTGACATCAGCAGCTTTTGCATCACATCCTCATTCATAGTGACTCGGTACCTGATCCCATTGATCATCATCGAGAAACAATAAGTGTAGACCTACACATGGACCGCATCTCTGACAACAACGTTTGTCCAGGCACTCCGTATAGTGGGTACGGCACTAGAGTTCATGCCGTCGACCTATCTACATAGGACAGTTACAGCACTGCCTTTGACAGTGTTGTCCAGCTCACTCCTGAGCAAGTGTGGTGAGCATCGATCCGTTGAGGATTGTCCCTCCTATCATTTTGGGCTTCAACGATGAATACACCTAGTGACCAGGCTAAGTCCTCTGATGATACCTTAGTATTACCTTCTCGACGAATGCATCAACCTGCTGCTGGAATTGAGGCATCAATGCTTGATACGGCAGCTTCTGACAACAGGTTGCCCTGTCATTCGCCACTCCTAAAGTGATATTAATTGCCCTGTGAGCTCGTTAACTAGCTTCAAGTTGAAGTCCCTGAGTACCCATAGTAGGGGTGGGAGGTCGGCGGCAAGGTCAGCTGAGTCAGCCGTGAATGAGGATCGAACAACATGAATGTGCTTTGTGAGATGGAGTACCTATCCCATCGCATTACTACTCTCCTCAAGCCAGAGTACTCACCAGATTGAGTTGGTCGAGACTCTCCTCGTTGATCGCACCCATACTGTTGTACACGAAGAAGGAGCAAAGCAGCAGGCACAATGAGAGTATCTGCATATCGCTGCTTGTAGTTCGGACACAGCTACCCAGACCCTCAGTATCGATGAGAATAGCATGAAAATTCTGCCCTAGTTGGACCTGAGTCATTGTGTTCTCCCGATGGAGCGGGTAAGGGATACTACCGGTTGAACCCACATCCATATACCACGAGTGCAGGGGTTCACACTAGGGCCTATCTCGAATCCATCCTGTAGGCCAAGGAGACGACGGTTCATGACAGGATTCTTGCCCGTACGGTACAGACCATCAATACCAAGTACAGCGACCTGATGTAGGATATCTCTCAGACCCGAAAGCAGCATGCAATGACCTTCCCCCGCCTTAGTATATTGAAGGCGTACTCATCAACAGTGCATTGGCCAGACTCATCGATGGATATCAGTTGTACGGGGCCACCATGGTAGCTAGAAGCCATAGTGGCCACTCGATGATGATGAGGAGGTAGACTGGGACATGTTAATGCAGGATCATTGAACAAACCACCGACAACACTCTCCCATCATCCGGCCATCAACGGAATCAATTATTTGTGTCTCACGGATGAACACTCATGAACATGTGTTGATATTATCAATACGATGGATGCGCACCATGCTGCTGTTTACTGGATATAACCCCGACCAACCATTCCATACCATCCTGGACCCCTTCACCCGACTTGGCTGAGCATGCCTAGTCAACACTAACATGTTCCATCATAACCCTATCACTCACTTGTATAGTCCAAGTCCTATCTCTGATATTGTCCAAATGCAAAGCATCGGATATCTCCTACAAGAAGAGCTCGTTTACACGGCGGATATAGAGCTCTCACATTGGCAGGCAATGCCTGTAGTAAATCCTGTTTGTTGGCGAATACCAATAGAGCTGTCCCTCCTGCCATATAAAAGTTCCATCCAAGCCCACCTTGAATGCTATACCCAGCTTATCCTCTTGCAGTAGTTCATTTAGTTCCTTGCCGCTCTCCTCCAATCGTCTACGATCAGCTGAGTCTACCACGAACACTAGCCCATCGGTGGCCTCAAAGTAGTTGGACCAGTAGGGTCGGATGGTCTTCTGGCCTAAACACCCCTCACCAACTACAGGCGACAATCGGTGACTTACCACCAATATCCCATACATTCAGCTTGAAGCCATCGCGGACCAGACTCTTTATATTGAAGCCCTACCAGAACATCACAACAATAACAAAATCATACTGTAGGAGCCGGTTTGAAGAGGAGTGCCTCACCTGTGTTGGCATCACTTGAGTGATATCTTCCTCACTAAGCTTGCGCAATATCGTTGTCTTACCCGCATTGTCTAGGCCTAATACCAGTATCCTAGCCTCCTTCTCGTCACGCTTCAACTTCTTCAAGATGCTCAGGAGTCCCATGCTGGAGGAATACCTTGTACAGTCCTACCCATATCATATACCCCCATATGTAACCCATCATTGATTGACTCTAACTCGCCCAAAATAATGATGATAGCATCAATAGTAGAAGCTGCTGACACTACACCACACATGGTAAATACTGTACAGTGCCAATTAGTGTCCAAGAGCAGCCGAGGAATGCGATGAGGGAGTGATGCGCACCAAGCAGCTCGAGCAGCTCAGCAGTTCGGGAAAGAGATCGTCATCCTCGTGGAGAGCAGTGAGTTTGCCTGCATTCCCCCAACATGCCTCGAGATGGACGCGAGCATTGATACTCGAAAACTAACGATGTGCCGGGATAATACTCGAAGCAATGAACGTACAGAGATAAGGCACCCTCAACAGGGGATCATATACTCTACACATGGACGGATAGGACACCGCAGGGCTACGACGACTATGCGGTGCATCAGGAGACGTTTCCTAGATACTTCAGTGAGATGGCGGCAGTAGTATGACGGCGGAGGGCATCCATCTCGACAGAGAGCATTCACAGTCTTAGGCGTGCCTTGAGGAGCCTCAATGCATGGAGCCTTCACTACTCCCGATATCACGACTATCCATACTATCACCATCCTCAGCGTCAGGCCAGCCTCCAACGGGAGAGTAGTGATGATGTGGGGGGGAGGGAGAGGACGGTTGAGGTCAATGCTCAGTGGAACATCAATACATCCACCCGACACCGCTTCCCAGGTATCCGCTCCAACGGCTCATTACGCACAGGGGGTGTAGAGCAAGGATAATGATGATGCCGACATTGAGGTAACTCTGGAGTGTTCGACCTACAACAATGCGGGCGAAACCATTCCCACATCATTGACGAACACAACATACACCAGAGGATTCCACCCAGAAAGCCCGCGGGTGGTTTATTATCACTGTTGATGATCAAGCGCTTCCCTGGGATGTCACTCAGAATGCGGTTTCAAACTGAGAGTCTTGCTATGACTTGATTACGCGAAACGGATTCCTGCTCACTGCGATAGTGTACGGCATTCAGATGTCCGTTCCACGAGAAGGTATAAGACTGCCGGTGAGTACAGAGATATCACATCCGGTACAACGCAGAGATGATCATCCCGTGCACGCCACAGTCGTGGCCACTCGAGGATATGCAGCAGCATGCTCACTATCCCGCACAGGATAGCACATAGATTGCGATCTAGTCCTGCTCGAATTCTCAATATGTACTACTACAACATACTTAGGTAGTAGCCCCCCAACCTGTAGACTACAATGATCCCCTCTATGTAGACCAATGACCACCGATGTGATAGAGCCCCTGACTGCTGCTGCCTATATTACCACGTACGGAGAATTTCCAATAACTACATATCAGGAGTAGGAGTCATATACGAGAAGAATTCTGAAAAGGCATCACCACAAGTTTCGACCCATCATCCAAGACTTAAGTGTAGTGTATGAAACCAGAATGTTATACTGAAATAAACTACGATAAAAAGCTGTCGACGTGATACGTTGACGATTTCAAGCGACAGTAATACGATATAAACCTCTGAAGGCCATGAAGACCTCACTGGAGGACTCGAGTAAGAATAAGCCACGCATAGGTAACAAGTCGATGACTGAGTGAGTGAGCTCCTACCTAACGTACATGCCTTGATATATAAGGTTGGTAAGCTCCGTTCGGATAGTGTGTAAAGGACAGATATAATGCGATCGCAAAAATGGTGTACAAAAGGATGATCGAACAAGACATGGCTATCCTTCACCGATCCGCTTACACCGTTTATTGGCATCTGCTCTCACACATTTGACAGGAGTTTGATTATAATGATGTGGAGTCGACGACAGTTGAGGATCTGTCGATCGTCTTACCAATTCAGTAGCATCAGAATGACAGCTAGTGGATGTTGTTGATGATGGTCCCTTGTTCAATTGCTGCTGCCCATTGGACATAATACGATCCCATAGACGCTGATCGAACCCATCGGATCTATGAGAAGAAGAAGAAGAACCATCTTCTTCTGCTGTTGTCGCTGGCCAAACATCTTCATCCTCATAAGACTGTCTCTCTACGATGTGTAACGCCTTCACACACTCAGCCTCCTTAGTTCGACCGATCAGGTGTGAGACGCTTGAAGGGAGGTCACCGACCTCATTGTTTATAGTTAAGCCGTTATTACATACTCTTTGAAAGTTGACATTGTGCCCTTTAGAATTCGCGCTAGACCCTCGGCGTCGATTAATTGCATCCATTCCGGCACTGTCCGATCCGGTACTACTGCTGCACAGCGAGGGCGTCACCAACGTCATCGGCGCTGGTGAAAGCTGATCCTTCCCGTGAAAATTGGATCGAAATTCTTCCGCATCAACTCGGGATGAACTACTAGGAGACTGCGTAACTCCAGTGACGACTGAAACAAGGAGTATGAGATCATCAGTACGATCCAGTGCGAGGCCGCTTACATCGAGTTACGTGAGGATATCCCCTTGAGCTTTTGGATTCTATGGGAAGGAATGGTTGGCCACCGGAATCAGCATCAGTTCCTGTTGATGACTGTAATGGTGTCAAGTAAGTCGGAAGTGATGCTCGGCGAGATGGGCATGCTCCTGCTGGTAACAGGGTCATGAGAATACACAAAAGATTGCTGAGTAGGATCAAAGTGGTCAACGAAAAAATACTGAAGAAATGCCCTATCCGGGGTTCGATCCCACGATGCGCCTGAAATCAGCCTCATCGTTAACTACTAAATTACTCAGCGATAGGTAGGTGATCCGAACTATTGCATGCACAAACTCTCCGATAATCATCATAAATGTAAACAGTCAACTCAAACCACTCATTGATATTGATGTTAGAAATTACCAACGAAGTCGCAGGAGCTCTATGGAAGGCAACAGCAGGCAAAGGTAAGTAGATACTTCGGACAATCAGGCGGACCACACCAACCGAGAGCCCATACAAGGGGCCCACGCCTAGAGCCCTACATGATACAGTTGTATCATGATGGTTCATTGATATACTACTATTATGAATGGCAGGACTTCTGCTGCCACGGGAGGGATCGAACCTCCGTGGTCTTTCTCGATATCACCAACGTCGCTGTATACATGCACTCTTGAGATACATCACGATGGTCTCGCATTACCATACCCCAAGGGGCACAGAACAACTACTACTGTATATAGATAACGTAAGACGACAGCTTTCAGATGCTACAACCAATAGAGAGGTGTGTGACGTCTGTCAGGAGTACATGGCGAATCACAAGAGCAGTCGTATACAGCCTCCCTATGCATGGAACAGGGTTATGAACGTCGTCCATCTCGTACAGTGGATAACATAATGCAAGAGTATTAGCCATTCGCCTGGATGGGATGGCGACAATACATTGGACAACAAGCGGCCGATAGTGTGATGATGATGATGATGAGGAACAGAGATAGTATATTAAGGATAGCGATAAGTATATAAGAATAAAAAAGGAGGTGCACATGCGACGCAGACTCTACCTGTTCATGGGTACGACTGAGCGAGCGCATCATTAGCAAGGATAGCGACTACAGGAATATCACCTCTCAGCGAGTTATCCCGGCAACATAGCTGTGTAACGATAGCATAATAAAGACAAAGTTGATTGGACACGAGGAACGAAGTAACGATAAGTCCTTAACTGCACTTGAATGGTCAGTAACACGCTCACCTCAGCGCGCACAGGCGGCCTTGAACGATTCGGAGTAGACGGGAGTAGAAGAGAGATCAGTCGAAAGTTGGTAAGGGACGAATGGCTCATTGTTCACGCTGTCTTCACAGTTATGGTAAAGAAGAACAAGAATACCAGAGTACAGCAAACATGATATCATTACTTACAACCAATATCACAACTCTAATGGGACCCGCAATGATGCTTGGATTCAACTCCCTACTGTATACAGCAACAGCACAGATAGGGAGACGATGTAGGAGAATTCTCCTGAAATTGATATAAGTACTGCTGCTACTCTTCATGGATATTAAAACCTTCCTATTCACACTATTATAGTATGGGGACATCACGACAACAATGGTGGATAGTGATGATCATGGTAGAGGTGAATGAACAAGACGACCACAACTAAGGCCTCGTGTTATCAATCAATGCTATAGCCTGGAAACATTGGTTTCCTTCGCTGCAAACTAACAAGAGAGGTAGAAGGAGCTGCTCAGTGAACCGGCAATAGCATCGACATTATCATAGCAAGCAGTGGAATAAACAATACGGGATGATGCGATGTAGGGTGGTTATGCTGCTGCCACAACCACGCTGTTACGCGGTGTCCTCTGAGCTACATAAGTCGCCATACCTCGGCTCTGAGGAGGAGGAGGAGTGGTCATCATAAGTAGGAGTCACATAGTCTCACCCTTGATTCTCTCCTTCGCGGTGTTGATACGATGACTCTGCCACGAGGTGAGCTCTGATACCTGACAATGTAAGGGCAAAGGTTTGCATCGGTATGGGATAACAAGGAGTTGCCTACGCATACAAGCTACATGATGGTGACACTCCGATCGCTCCCCGTGTACGTGGGGTATCACCAGCTGAAAAATAAACAAATCCCAATGAGAGACATAGGAAGCCATATGGCTTACCTAGGCTGCTAGTGGTGATACGAGGGGATGCACTAGGGTATCTGCTAATGGTGTACTCTGTGATAGGCATTAACAACTTACCGACGCCTATACATAGTAGGGGTGCTCATCACACCTGAAGTAAGGTAAGGATAATCAAAAGAGCAACCCCATGCAGTTACCAGAAGCATCTAAGGATCTGCTTGTTGCAGGTCGAGCTGAACTAGGCTTCCTATGGGCCATCACACCCGGTAATGGAGGTAAGTGCTGATCATGTTCATGCGTACATTCATCCGAGACACATGTTGACGAGGAAGTAGTTGAGGTAGATGGCAGGGCTAAAGGGGGGAGGCAATGATGTCAGAAGATCTCCTATCTAATGACCAAAGCATTGTTACACTCATTCATATGCAGTGTTGGTGTTAGCCGTACCACACCCTCTTTGTATGGGGTTGGTGTCCATTCGGGAGACCTAACGAGACATAGCTCAAGGCAGGGTCATTGGGGACATTACCCTGCTCGGCTTGGCGTCGTTATGTTATCCACCACATTTCTGCTCTCAGCACATCCCATGGCGACGGAGACTAATTTCAAAACACTAAACTAGCATTTGTAAAGCAGATAGGTTTCGTCATTTTTCATTCCAAGCCGGCCTGTCACTATTCTTGCACTCTGCACAAAGTCGTCTGTCCCTATTATGCGCGTTTTCGGTCGGCACAGAAGATATAACGAAGAAGAGACGAGACGTCAGTTGGGCAATAGCGATCCATGAATCTAAGGCTGTGATTGGACCTAGCCATCCCCCTCGATGCTACATCAGACGCACTGTAATACCGTTCTCTGGAAACTGGTCGGATTAAAGTCCTTTCACTAAGGAGAGTGTGAGAAGTTGATGCTTTATAGATCAACCCTTGATCGACCCTCCCCTCCTCTTTCCACCAGCCTCTCTCCACGAACTCCGATGTCAAACGACGATATATCTTCTTCTCCTCATCGCTCAACTTCGCGAAGGCTGGTTTTTCATACCGTGGAATCCTGATCGGTCCCTCATGACCTTGTGGAAGATCCGCGAACGCCGCCGCTTCCTGGACGCTCACATCTTTCTTCTCATCACCCCGAAGCTTCCTGAACTCTAGTGTGTACCCGGGTAATCCCTCAATCTCCGATGCTCCCTTAGCTATCAGAGATTCGACCACTCGGTCCACTGCTTGTAAATCCTTGCCTCTCAGACCAGGTTCAACTCTTGATCCCGACAGATCCTCCATGGGAGATGGCAAAGTGGTGAACCCCGCTCCTGGTTTCCCTACCAAGGGCCACACCTCCGATTCGACGTAACGAATGAGATCCACGTTCTCCTCATTGACTACCCCTTGTGCTTCAATGTGTCCCGAAGACCCACATGTGACCTTTCCCGAGGTCAAGTCGATCCGGAGCCCCACCAGCTTCCCAACATCTCTACCAATGAGCATGCTGGCCTCGCCAGCTGAACCAG